TTATTTTTGAGGAGCTGGGGATTGAACTTAGGCCCTTGTGCTTGCCAGGGAAGCGCTTATTCTACTGAGCCATCTCCCCTGTCCTAAACCTTTCTTTTAAATGAACTAAAAGAAATTGGTAGTTTAACTTTTTTTTTCTTTTTTGATTGTTTGGGTTGTTTGGGTTGCCCTTGGACTCACTGTGTAGCCTGGGCTGCCTTGGATGCATGGTAATCCTCCTGCCTCAGCCTCCTGAGTGCTGGGATTACAGGTGTTTGCCACCATGCCCAGCTAGGTATTTTTCTTCAAAAGGTGGAAATTCAGCCAGAGTGGTGGTGTGCACCTGTAATCCCAGAGCTCCGAGGCAGGAGGATTCCAAGTCCAATGCCAGCCTGGGAACTCAGTGACTGACTGATACCTGTCTAGAACAAACTGTAATACACACAACACACAGCAAGAAAAGGAAAAAAGTGGGCATCTGCAGTCCCAAGTGCGTCCTCGTGGGTGGAGCCGGGGGCTGTCTCCGGCCCCTGGGCCAGTCTGGGCAGCACCACTGTGCTGACCCTGTGGGTGTCATGGCCAGGCTGGCAGGGGGGACCGTGTTGCTCTGGGCAGATGCCCTAGCCCACAGGGCTGGGCTCGTGCCTGCTGCCCATGGTAAGCTCCGGTTCTTGGGGAACTTCGGTCTGCCTCCATGTCACTCTGCCTCCCTCTCCTGTGTTCCCACCCCAGGTGCAGACCTGACTGTCACCGAGGCCAGCAGCTCCGACAGCCGAGGGGAGCGGGCCGAGCTCTACGCACATGCCGACGAGGGTCTGCTGGGAGGAGAAGCCAGCTTCTTGGGTCCACCGCTTACTCCTGAGAAGGACGAGGCGCTGCACCAGGCCACGGCGGTGGCCAGCCTACGCGCGGCGCTCATGAGTAAGAACAGCCTGCTGTCTCTCAAGGCCGACATGCTCGGAGACGACGGCTCCCTGCTGTTCGAGTATCTGCCCAAAGGCGCCCACTCGCTGTCGTGTAAGTGCAGCCCCGGGAGACCCTGGGCCCTGATTTCCACCGCTGGGTCTCGAGTCTCTGACCCAGGTGCTCCAAGAAGGAGTGTGTAGCCCATCTGCCAGGTGGGCAGGCTGTGGGGAGAGCTGCCTTCCAGTTCCTCAAGGCCTGTGGGACATGAGCAGGGCACACTGCGGGGACCTAGGTGGCCTGCTTCTCAGGTAGGGAGCTGGACAGAGCAGGAGGGGTGTGTAGTCAGGTGGAGGGAGGGAAGAGCTGTGGGACTGTCTCATGCTCAAATGGAGACATTTGAGCCTGAAGCCCACCAAGCTGAAAAGTGCGCACAGGTAATAAGCCAACGTGAAACCTCAAGTGAGTCTGAGCCAGCGACACACGGCAGAGGGTCTTTGTGCAGAGGGACAGTCGCGGCTCCCCCTGCTGGCCACCTGTCCTGGGCTTTGTGCAGAGACGCAGCCCACCTGGAGAGTGCGGGAGAAAAGCGCACCCGCGCCTGGGACCGGGCTTGCTTTGTCCTGCTGGTCACTAGTGAGCTGTGAGAAGGGAGTTAGGGCCACCCTTAGAACCCAGGTGTCCCGAGCCCACGCCACATGACAGCCCCATGCTGCTGCTGTGCCACTCTCCAGGATTCTGTTCTCTGAAGAGGTGGCGTGGTGGCGTTGGCTCTTAGCTAAGCACACCCCATGCGGCAGGGGGCAAGTTTTCCCCAGTCACAGGGCCACAAGAACAGCGGCAGGGCCCTGTGTGATGCCAGGGGAGGAGCCTGGCCACCTGTCCTTGGCCCTGCGTTGGCACGTGCTGTTCAGCTGGTGCTGAACGTGGGCTTGTGGATGAGCCCCATGTTTTTCTGTGTGTGTGTGGTATGCCCCACACTAGGGCACTGAGTCGGGCTGCGAGGTGCCTGCCCCAGGTCCTCTGTGCACAGTGACTCCTCCCACCTGTCAGCCATCTGATGTTGGGGCTTTGGGACACGTGTCTGTTTTAGTTTGCACATGTTTTAAAAGACAGTATTTCTACGATTTTGTTTTTAATGAGCACTAAAATATTCTTTTGAGATTTTGTAGTAGTGTGAGGAGTTATGCAAGTTGGGCAATAAAGACTAAAAGTGAAAACCAGCGTTTATACTCTCTTTATTTCCCCGTGTTTGGGTAAGAGCTGCAGCCTGGCCCGTACGCATGGGCTGCAGGCCGGGGTGGGCAGAGTGTTCCACGGACCATGGGCACTTGGCGTGAATCAGACAGCTTCAGGCTTCGCGGCCACAGCTGAAAAGCAGGGCAAGTGCCACGTACACAGTTGTTGGGAACATAAAACAGCATTTGTGGAATGACTTAGTTCAGTCAGAGAACATGTGGCAGGTATTTCCAAAGACAGCCCCTGCCCCTCACAGATGCTGAGCTGGACTTGAAGCTAGCACTTGTCGGACTGTTCAAGCTCGTAGGGACCTTGCCAGTTCATGGAGGTGGTTCCGGGGTACTTGGGGTACCTGGCATTCATGGGGGGGGGTCCGGGAGTGGATGAGCACCGTGGGAAGTGTGCAGGGGGGCAGGAGAGCCCCAGCACAGAGGCCTGTGTTTCTCCGCCTCCACCTGCAGACAGGCATTCTCAGCCTCATGGGACGTCCACAGTGCAGACTCCTTCAAGTGGGGACCAGCAGGACTCGTGCGCGACTCAGTGCGTGTCGTCAGGAGTGGTTTGGAGTGCGGGGAGACGGTTTCTCTGTGCCTTTGTGCGGGTCTCACCCTGGACGCAGGTGCTGTTCACAAGGCCGTCACTGCGTCTGTGCGGGCACCGTGTGGTCACAGGGCAGAAGCTGCAAATGCTGGCTGCGCCACATGGGGCCAGGCAGGGGGACCTGCAGGCCAGGTGTTGGCCTGCATGTCGCTGCTGTGCTGGTCTCCTGGGCTCTAGGCCCTGCCTCTTGGGGCTCCTCGAAGAAGGCCGTGCTGTGGCCAGGGTGTGGGTGGGGCATTGCCTGGTGCCTTCTCAGCTCTTACCTGTGCCAGTGTACACGTGATACTCTCCTAGTGTGCTATGGGGCGTGGCACATGTCACAGGCCTTTGCACTCCAGAGAGGAGAGAGAGTCCCATTGTGCTCAATTTTCAGGCCATCATATCTGTGGCTAATTCCAGGTGAAGTCAGTTAGTGGACTGTGGTAAGTTGTTATTTCTGTAATGTTGTAATCTCCCAGGTTTCCTACTCTTTTCATAAGACTCTGCCCTTTTCATAAACAGGGTTAGCTGTTGGCACAATCTTCCACTGGCTAGGCGTGGACTGAGTGACTTTGGCTGTGTGTGGATGGCAAACCTGCTTGGTGGGCAGAAGGACTGTTAGCTCACCAGGGGAGTGGGTTCCTTTAAACTACGATTTTCTGACCTCTTAAGTGACGTCAACCTGTTTCTGAAAGAAGGCTGGGAAAGCCCAGCAGGAAGCCTGCTTCCCAGGTCTGTGGGCACCTCCTCATAGCCAGCATCCTCCCTGTGGGTGGTGGCGGCGCAGCTGCAGCCCAGGTGAGGGGTTGTCCAGACTTGTGGGTGGCAGAGGCAGCTTGCACGCAGACCACAGCCAGACTCAGCCTTGGAGTATCAGGTCTGCTGGGTGTCTGTCCCACGTCAGGCAGAGGAGCTGTGTCAGGCCCCCCAGAGCTGTATGTGATCCACCGCTCTGCCCTTCCTTGAAGTACCCGGTTGGCAGGAGGCCTTGGGCTGGGCTGTGGTAAGTGTGTGGGCAGCACAGGATGGCAGTGTTCAGGGTATGTAGACCCCCATGTGCTCCATGCTAGCTGCAGCCCCTGGTCGCCTCCAGCTCCAGAAGTGCAGCCCTGAGCCTTGGTAGCAGTTGGACCATGCAGCTGGCGGTGCTACGTGTGTTCGGAGAAGAGGGTGCTGCCGGGGGTGGAGGTAGGGGGGTGGGCAGTGCAGCTGCTCTCCTGGCACCCTTCGTGGAGAAGTGAAGGAAACCCAGGCCTCAGCTGGGCTGAAGAGGATGACACCTACCCCCTAGCTGCTGGGCCCTGGTGTGGCCTGTGTCAGGACTGTGACCTCCACATGCTGGTGGCCCTGAGCTTTGTACAAGGCTGCGGCTTTGGTTAGTACCTTGGGAGAGCAAGCTTCCCAGCAGGCAACGTATCACTGGAGCAGGGGTTGGCATGGCTTCTGCCGTAGGGCTTGGCAGTTGCTTTGTGGTACAGGACACTTGGCATTGGGACCCAGCCGCAACCCGATTCTCCTGGTCGCTTGTGCACTGTGCTGGTGTCTATGGTCTGTACTTAGCAGGCTATGTACAAGTAGCATAGAAGAGCTGATCTGCAGAGGTCCTTTCTGGGTGGTTTGGGAACACTCTAGAAAAGTGGCCTTAATTTTCTCATTTTCAGAGGACCGATGATGTCAGCTTGGCCACGGATTCAATGAGTGGTGGCTCATCAGTCTTCTGATTAGAAAACTTTTTTCTTTTTTTAAATTCAGTTTAATTTGGTTCTCTTTTACCTTTGTTAATTTATTTGTAAATCTCTTTGTGGTTATTGGTCACTGCATAGAAACCATGAAGAGCCTGTCACAGCTCAGAACATGGCTGTGTCACATGAGATGTGCCCGTTCAGGACCTGGACGTCTGATGGCTTGTGCCCCCGAAACACAGACTTTCACATGGGACGAGGCTGTGGCGCTCTCAGACTAAGGCACATTGTGTCATGTACACTGAGCCAAAGTCCCAAGTGTCACCGGGCACGCACTGTGTTGGCCGGACCCCAGTCCCCAGCAGTGGCAGGCCGGCTCCATTCCCTTCCCTCCCTCCAGTGCCGTACGGTGACATCTGGCTGTCACCACTGACATTCACTGGTAAAGCTGAACCTGGAGCCTCAGGCCAGCGGCTGTGGACTCTTCCTCTTCTGCACCATGGTCAGTCAGGCCCAGACATCTTGGAGCATTTAGTGATGACTTTCTTCTTCAGCTTACAGAATATTTACTTACTGTTTTGGTACAAGGAATTAAGGGCTTTTGTTTGGTTCTGAATTGATACTGTGATTCTTTTTTTTTTTTTTTAATTTTATTTATTTATGTGTGTGTGTGTGTGTGTGTGTGTGTCCAGCTCAGCCCACCAGGGGGCAGGGCTGGCTGGCATGTGGTGCTGGGGATTGAACATCGGTCCCTGTGCTTTGCTAATAAGCTTGTTCTAAGTAGGTGCTTTAGACCACTGAGCCATCTCACCAGCCCTGATACTGTGATTCTGACCAAAGGGCATTTGTTGAGCTATTGCTGGACTTCAACTGATGAATCTTGAAGAACTTATCAGAAAATTGGCCTCCAAGGCCCCAGATTGCCAGCGTCTACTTTCAGTACCGAAAGCCTCTGTTGAAATCATTTGCTTCTGGAGAAAGACTGGCCATAGACAAGGCTGGTGCCCTGGGCCCCGATGGCTGGGATCAGCTGACCAGCCAGGGTCTCCAACTTGCCCTCCAGTGGGCTCCTGTGTCGTCCTAGCCAGTGGCCACCTTCCGGACTCTGAAGGCCCTCTGAAGGACATTCTTCCTCGAGGTGCGCCTCACAGCCCCTGTCCCCAGGGCCTGAGTCACTCGAGAGGACACTGGTGGCAGAGCAGAGGCTCCATCCTCCTCCACTCGGAGCCACAGGATGATTCTTTCTTCTTTAATGTACTTAGTACAGGGTCTCCAGGGTCTCACTACGTAGATGGGACTTGTAGTGATTCTCCTGTTTCAGCCTCCTAAGCACTGGGATTACAGGCACGCACCACCACGTCTCCATTGCCATCTCAGTGTGCCCCAGGGGTGGAGCCCACACAGCATACCAGGGATCGAACCCCAGCCTGTGCAGGTGCTTTAGTTCAATGAGCTATCTGGCCAGCGCCTATAGGATGGTTCTGAGGAGGCCAAACTTAGCCTGAGCAGATGCCTCCTCCAGCCCAGGTAAGACACAAGCTGGCCCGCCATGCCCACGGTGCCCAGGACGCCTGCGGCAGGGGTGGCGCTGCTCACCCAGCGAGCAGGTCCTGT